GTGCTGCGTCACTGAGCAGCACGCCGTGGTGCTGCGTAAGGATGGACGAGAGTGAATCTTCTTTCCCAACCTTTAACTGTTAACCATGGACGTGCTGGGCTGGCTCCTCTACGGGCAACAAACTACGCTGATGTGAGCTGCAGCAGTAGCCATGCTGATGTGGGCTTTATGTGTCTGTAACAAGTACAAGTGTGCAGCTTTTATATTTGTTTAGACACGTGTTTGTGTATTGACTGTAAAAAACAATAAAAGTCGGTTGGCAGATGTTGTGCTGTTTGATTCTGCACATTTTGAGTTGGGCATGTTCAGAAAACGACAGGAAGAACCAGTGAAGCTGCAGGTCGCATGTTTTACTGAGCAATTTTGAATTAAGTGAAATGAATACAGGGCAGCACGGTGGTGCAGTGGTAGAGCTGCTGCCTCACCGAGCAGGTTAACCTGGTTCAAATCCCGGTCCAGTGGAGTTGGCATGTTCCCTGTTGTGTGTGGGTTACCTCCCACAGACTAAAAACATGCATGTTAGACTGGAGTGACTGGTTTGTCTCTGTCCCTGTGATGGACTGGAGACCTGTCCAGGGTGTCCCCCGCCCAGTGACTGCTGGACATGGGCACCAGCAACTCAAAAAGGAAGCAGCTATGGATGAAATGAATCCAGAGGCTGTGAGTTCATCATGACATCATGATCTGAAACTGATCACACGAGTCTTTGATGTTCAAGATACAGTTCCATAAACAATTCTTCAGCAACGTTTTATTAAATTATTGATTTCACAACTTCTGCAGAAATAAGTAGTTGCAGGTCGTTAGACTTTTCTGCACCATAATTCCAGAGTACAGTAACTTTATTAAACTTTTACTTTTTAAAAAAACCTACATTAATATCTGATTCTTTAAACAACCATTAAAACAAGTTTCCTCCGTGTGTTCTTCACGATGATGCTCGTGTGTAAAAGTTGAAAATGCCACTGCGTTGCCAGGTAATGTTTGAGGGTTTGTCTCGGGACTGGTTGGGCCTTGAGGGGACAAAGACCATTATGGTGCTGGTTCCAGTGCCTATTCCTGAATAAACCAGAGCATTGTGGTTGAACAGCAGGCGTGCTGTTGAAGCCTCAAATCAGACACGAAGAGATTTTTATGCTAGCTAAAGTAGTTAAATGAATAAAGTTAAAAGTATCAAAAGGTCAGACGGGAGCAAAAGGCTGGTTGAAAGATAAAACAGTTCAGCTAAAGTAGCTAAAAGCATTATGAGCTGAATCAGCTCAATGAGATGATTGATTCATGTGAGGAGCAGCTCTGTAGTAAATATATTCTGACAAGATGAACACCCGTCAACTGAATGTTTAGGTTTACGAGCGACAGCAGAAAGTTTCTCAGGTTACACTTAAAGGCCTAGCGTTCCTTCAGCGCTGCCTTCCATGACAAACTGACCAGAACAATTTAAGACATGACCAAGTTGTTCTGCTCAAACCTTCAGAACGACATTTGTTGTGACCTCACCGAGTCACAGATCAGGCTCACACTGAGCCCCGGAGGGGACATGGATCTTGTAGCATTCCCACTGGACACGTGCACCAAATGTCACGTTTCTACAACACTCAGGTTAACGTGGAGCTGCTCAGATCATTTACAGGTGGCGCTCTTGAGACGTTTCTGTTTCGATTTTAAGCCCGAGCAGCGAAGGCCTATTGTAATCGCTCGGTTCAATTGACTCTAGCAGTTTTGTCCGTCAAATGAATTGGCCTTTTGGGACCATGACACATCCCAAAACTCACCAAATGTGGCGGACGCATCAGGACTGCTGAAAAATTACGTATTTTAAGAGTGTCGCAAAAATCACAACAGAAACAGATCAAGAGCGCCGCCTGGAAATTTTCAACATACCCTCCGCATGAACCTTAGTTTGTCTTAGAAACATGAAACTTGGTACACTTGTCCAATTCCCAAAGATGCACAGAAAACCCTCTGGCACCAACGTTGTACGATAAACAGGAAGGCGGTCATTTTAGAATGCCGTAACAAATTTCACACCCTTTGTGCGGTTTACAGCCTCCGCATTTGAACGAACTCCTAGAAATTTCACGCAATCGGTTTCAAACTTGGCCATTTTGGTCAAAAGGCACGGGGAACGAAAAATTATCTAAACGGTGCATTTCAGAGCATGCAGAAGGGGCAGAGCCAGAACTCAAAGTTTGACATCTCGCCATGAACAACAAAACGCTAGTAGCTCCTACACAAATCTGTCTGAGACATGAAACCTTCCGTGATTGATCCAAATCCGGTCCCCTGCAAGACTGCATGGTCAAATCATGACATCACTTAAGCCACGCCCCTTAACAACAGGAAGTGTAAAGTTTTACGTTGAACGGTCCCTATCTGACCCCTGTGACCTGATCAGCATGATGGTGTGTCCAGTGACAGAAGACATGTTGGTGTAACTTGCTTTCCAACACTGACAGTTTTGGGTGGAGCATGTGGGCGGCGCGGCGAAGTAAGACGTAACACCGTCGCCATACGTTTGGCTCTAAATTGCACAGATTTGAACCGAGATGAACCAAAATTAGTTTGATCGATCAATATCCATCCCTTCAACAGGAATCAATAATAAGTGGCCAATAGCCTCCACAGCGCCCCCTAGAATATTTTAAAACCTCAGCCCCAAGCCAATTTATGACCGATAATTCTGAAACTCGGTGAACATCTGTATCTTCTCAGGACCTATGAAAAAGTCTCTTGGAGCCATGGTCCACACTCAACAGGAAGTCGGCCATTTTGGGTCAAAGGATCATTTTTGGGCATTTCTAATTGCGAGTTTTAACGAACTCCTCTTAGGGATTTGGAAGGATTGCCTTCAAACTTGGTTAGTAAGCCCTTAACACAATGGAGAGTAAAAGTTATCAAAAACTTGCAGTTTCGTATATGTTAAAGGGGCGTGGCCAGGCCTCAAAGTTTCGCTTCACGCCATAAATTTCCAAAGGCTATAACTTTCACATTGAAAGACCGAAATGCACCAAGCTTGGCATGAGTCATCCCTGTTGGATGCCCGAAGATCCTCTATGTCATATTCAGACGTCATCAAAGCCCCGCCCACTCATAACAGGTGGTCAATTTTTTTTTACTTGGAATGCTCCCTCTCTGACACCCTTGACCTAATCATGATCCTGTGTTAGAAGACGTATAACAAGTTGGTCTGACTTGATTTAAATTACACACAGTTTTAGCTGGAGGATGTGGGCGTGGCGAATTCAGAAGTGACGCAGTTGAAATACGTTTGGCTCTAAATTGCAAAGATTTAAGCCGAGGTGAACCAAAATCATTATGATCGATCATTGTCCACCCCTTGAACAAGAATCCAATCGCCAATAGCCTCCACAGCACCACCTACATTATTCCATCATTTATATCTCAGTGATACATCATCTTATCTGCACCTGATTGTTTTGCGTCATCAGTGAGCACTTTGAGACACATTGGTATTGTTGATTCATGACATCATCTAAGCCCCGCCCACTCAGAGAATAATCTATTGATTATTGGGTGACTCTTCCAGCTTAGCCCAGTGACTGAAACTGTAACTTGATTACCACACGACGTTGAAAAGCATAAAGAAGTGCTCGTCAAACATTCACAACAAAACTGGAAGTCACAGTAACTCCTGTCTGGAAGGTCAGATTTCACGTATACTTGTAAGACCTGGAGCTGGACTAGTACTGACATGGACGGAAGGCACGTCAAAGATTCAGGAAATGTGCCCTGTGGTGAACATGTGCGGGATTGGCATGAGAGCGTTCGCGATGGCGACCGAGTGGAGTGGCTGGAGCGCACGCGGTGCGTTATGGCCGGAGCGGTGCTTTGCTGCGAGGGCCTTCGGTGCTGCTTGCAGCTTTAATACTTGAATTTGAAATGCTAAATCATAAATCTGAACTCTTAATAATCTGATGCAGAATCAACATTATGAGATACTAAGGTACAGGGCCGGCCCGCTGCATAGGTGGACTAAGCGGCTGCTTAAGCCCCCGTGGGGCCCCCTAACCGGAATAGATATTTTTTTATCATGATTGATTTCTATATGATTCTATTACACATTCATTATAAAGTTGTGATCTTTCTTTTAAACAATAATATATATGTAACCGGGTGGTTTATTAGTTTCAAAATAATGTTTATGTGGAAGTGCATGTAAATTCCCACCTGTGTTGGGCCCTTGAACGCACCTACGCCCGGGGCCCCACAGAGAAGTGGCTGAAGAGGAGCAGCTTGTTCTGCAGAAAGGTCAAATTAAACTCTGGTAAAGTTCTTACATGTGAACACCTGCAGCACCCCGTGTGAAGTTTGTACGGACTGAGTTTTATAAGATGTTAGTTTCAGTGTGCGCGCCAGGAATCACTAAGAAAAGTTAACCACTGAGTAACAAGTCCATTTATAACTGGTTAGGATTATTTACTGAGCCCAACTGGTCCTAAACCAGTAACTGACACAAAGACAACTCGCTTCAACAACATTAATCATAATGTCATACAGCTAGCTGACCATAGCTGCACTGAGCGCACGCACGCACACACACACACACACACACACACACACACACACACACACACACACACACA